GAGAAACAAGCAGCTGTTGATGTCGGATCTTATGAGTTAGAACAAATTGCTTCTGAAGACTCTCACGATGAACAAGACATAACACTTTTAAAAACGCAGCGAACATTGAATCGTGGTCCATCTTTTTACGCTGTTCCACAGTTCGAAGCTCTTCCTGTTATTTCCAATCATTATCGATTTTTTTCTTGTTGTAAAGGTAAAAAATCCGAGCCCGAACCGTTACCATCCTTGCGAAATGCTGTCGATGCCATGTTAGTTGCATTAGTCGATTTTCTCTATGCCAGCGATCGATTTATCCGTGCGGAATTTGTCGCCAATCAATCAATTGGTGATGTTTTAGCTTTTCATACGTTATCCTACGCAATCAAAGACATGGTCGAAGCAACAACGAATCTTGCGAAGAATATTCGACGCATCAAACATATCGATACACGAACATTGATTCGTTCCGAACGAGAAGAACGAATTCCGTCACATCAAGTAGTTTAGAGAAAATCGTTATCTATCAAACCAGAAAATTCGTTTTTTTTTATTGTATTTTTCACGAATGTTTTCTTCTAGTCTGGTTTGTTTCTGCTGTTGTTCTTGATATTTTCTTTTCTACTAATATTCGAATTAGATTTTATTCCATAATCAAGCCATGTTTGTATTGAAATTTTAATAAAATTTTGTTGTTAATTTTTCTTATATTCCGACTTCAGAAATAGTACAGCGCAGAAAATCGGTTATGTGAATGTGAAATATGGTTGAAACACATGTCGTGTGATGAGTGGTCAGAAAGTAAAGCGTGTCAATAACTTACATTTCAATGTCGTTGTTAACCTACTTCTACATATCGATCGTAGCTGTTGTTCTGTTGAGTAGTCGAGCAGAACAACGGAGAATATTGAACTATATCGATGGTTACCGTTCGTCATTCAAATATCATCAACAGGGAAATGTGAATTTGATTATTTCAGCACCTCATGGTGGTAGTTTAACACCAAATGATTTACCTGACCGAAAAATCGGCGGTTGTCGTCGTCAATCAGGTATAAATGCAGGGCTTTGTACTTGGTGGTACAATGATACGTGTATTGATGGACAACGTTGCAATACAACGACAGTAAAAGATACACTAAGTGATGAATTTGCGGAGAATGTGGTGAATGAGTTGGATATTCAGTATGCTCTCAAACCGTACGTTGTTATTGGCAAATGGAGTCGGACGAAAATTGATTTTAATCGAGAAATACAAGAAGCCACATTGAACCATCCTGAGGCTATGAGTGCACATCGACATTATCATGGAAATATTCAACAAGCTGTTGACAAAATCAAGCTCAACTTTGGAAAAGGTTTACTTCTTGATATTCACGGGCATAGTGTCGGAAAGTAAGATACAACCCATTGAATATAGTCCAACCATTCCCGTGTATATTCATAGCTATACGATGGTCGGGTACCTGTTGACGAGCGATCAATTGAATAGAAATGATCTGGATACTCTTTTGGTGTCAACATCGATTGATTTACTTTGTAATTCAAGTCGTGAAGAATGTATTCGAGGTCCGAACTCTTTCGGTACCGTGCTGGAATCAACTCAACTTGGTATTGCTTATCCGTCTTTAGCGAATCCGAAGCCTGGATCTCTGAGATTTCTCTCTGGTGGATATATAACCAAGAACTATATTTCGAATATTAATGCTATTCAAACCGAATTGCCGTATGACATTCGTGCAGGTATCAATCGACGTACTCATGCAAGAAATTATGCAAGAGCAGTTGTTCATTTTATGAAACAAAATCATCTGTTATTGTCGAAGTAGATGAAAAGTTTGCGATGGAAATGTTTATTTATTCTAAATATTTCTTTCATTCATTGAATTACAAGGATTTTCGAATAAATCGTAAAGCAAGTCGCTTGTGTAATTTGCGTTTGCGTAAAGATCGACGTTTTTCGTCATCGTCGTCACTCGAGTCATCGTATCGTTTCTTTTTCATACTTTGCCGTTTTCGTTTTCCATAACTTCGCTTGACAAGTGCTCGTTTTTTCATTTCACACAATGTGTCATTATTGATTTGTGCTAATTCCAAAGCCTCATCCAAGTATGGGCAGTAGATACGCAGAAGTGACTGGTTTTTGATTGATTGCGGTTCTTGCAATGCAGCACGGCAAAGTTTATCCCAGTCGTCGTCGTCGTCGTCGTCATCATCGCCATCATCGTCAGAATCGGAATTGGAATCATCATTTCGGCGGCGCAATTCGCGATATTCTTCTGGACATAATCGACGATCATTTAGTGATGAACTTGTTCGAGCACTAATGACGAACACTAATGCTAAGAAGAATATCAGTAATGAAAAGTTACTAAAACGAGAAAAGTTGATCGGATTGAATGTATGTTGGAATGTCTTACTGCATTCGGTTGCGTCTGATATGCTGATGATTAACAAAGAAAATGATCTCGATCTGGTGAATAGTTTTTTTTTTACAGAGAGAGAGAAAGAGATGCCGAAAATATAAACGGAACTGGAGAGTTCATTTTTGCTTGTAATTATAGACAAAGTAAATTATCATTGTTAATTTATTCAGATTCGGTCTTATCTTTTCTTTAGACGAAAGAATATATGAAGAACAATGAGAATAATAATTTTCGATCTGATTGGAGAGCTTGGAGATTTGTGTGACAACAACAAAAGAGTATTGATTATGTTGCTCCACATCCTGAATTCATCGATCGAGATTTGAAATTCCATCACTTCCTGATGTTTATCTTTGAAAGATTCAGCAAACATATTTCTAAGTCCGCCTTCATTGACAGCATATAAACAATCATGAATAATTCTGAGAAAATGAGAAGTTCTACGTCAAACATCAACAAAGAAATGTTTAAATCTAGTCTATCTAAATAAAAACCAATTTTATCGATATTTAACCTACCGGCGAGAAAATGTTCATAAAGTATGACTATAAATCGAGTGTTATCCTCTGAATGTCGATAACTGTCAATAGGAATAGAAAAATGCAAAATTAATTTTGAAGTATCTCTTTGTATATATGAAGAACTTGTGTCAATCTTCTTCGAAAGACGATACGGATTTGTTTTATTTTGACAGCTGTCAAGGTAATATGAAACGAAGATAATCTGAACTTGGCAAAAAGATAATTATTTGTTTTTTTTTCACAAAATATTCAATTCATATGAGAAAATCAGCCGTGTCAAATCGTTACACCGAAGTTTATCTGCATAATTCCTATATTGATTTTCCTCTTCAGGATTTCCAACGCAATATACATGAGTAAATATGAACTTCATCAAATTTCTTCGCACACTCTTTCCATAATACGTAGGTTACTAAGGCGATAAAGAGCATATCATTTATAACGAGTAGTCATCTATTAACTTGAGTGCTAATCAACTTCATTCGAGATTGGATCTGGGTTTTTCCGTAGGTGCGACTAGACGCTTTTTAAATCTTTTTCTTTTCTGTTATTCATCAAATAAGAAAAGAAGAAAAAAAAACAGAACAGTCAACAGCACTTTCTTTCTTTTTCCTTTTCTTCATCCGTGCGGTAATGAGCTTCCGTTGTTCTATCTCGTCCTTAACATCTTCAACGAACATCTTTTCTCTGTGACGTTTTCTGCATCGTTTAATCTGTTTCTTTTTTCTCCAACTTACGCATTCAGCAGACGTTTGAGTAATTTATGTCGTGTTTTAAGAAAGAAAAATTAGATCGTTATCATCATGCTTCTCGGTTTAGAAAATGGGAAGACAAACCTTCTTTTTTTCCTTCTAGGTATTTCACATGTTTCTCCAAACAAGTTTGAAATTCAATTTCTAAAATGGTTGACATCACTTATACCTGTTCACTTCTTGGTTTCGCCAACATTATTGAATTGGTGAGAAAAGATTTTCGCTTTGATTTACTTCCCTATCACACTCAATATAGATATTGCTTGCTGGTGGTTTTATAGCTGTATGTATAGCGTCAACTGGCTATGCTCAACTAGTCGATTCATATTCGAATATAATTAAATACAATATAACTGCATCTGTATGTAAAATCTTTGAATGAGAATGGCTGATGTGTGTTTATTTTAGCCAACGGGAGATTGGAAAGCATTTTATGATATTGATGCTTTTGCAATAAAACAAGCTGATCAGGCTATTTTGATGATTGTATTTATATTAACAGCAATAACGTTTACTGTTCATGTTTTGTTTAATATTCGTTATCGATATTCGTGGCATCGATTTTCTAATGCAGTAATGTCGACTCTATTGGCAAATATATCGTACGACTAGATGTCTTTTTTTCTTATTTAGATAGCATTTCTTTGTATTATTTATGCTTTTGCTCTATGCGGTGTGTCGATTGTCGTTGCTGTAAGTTGAAGACTATGTTCTTCAGAGTTGAAAGTCGTTTGTTTAGTGTTGGGAGGACAAATTGAGAAAGCAGTTGACAAACATCTATTTGAATAACCAATTCATCAATACACCTAATGGCTTCGTCAAACCACAAATCGGATCAGCAGCAGCGGCTTCTGTAAGTTGAAGATTTTACATTGAATTTCAATAGAGTATTGTCAATTTTCAGGCGTTTGGATTTGCAGCATGTGTAATGTACCTTGTCGAAGCTTTGATTCGATTTCGACGTCTAGCCGATAAACTTCAAACATAATTTCACTCCGCCCATCGATTTTCATTTACAATACATTTCCCGTGATTTTCTTTTACTGTAGTTTGATTATTTGAAACATATAGCAAAATAAAATTCAACGAATACATTTTCTATCAATCATCTTTGCTATGACAGATAATATGTCTGTTTAGAACGTACTTATCGTCTTGAATCCGACTTTCCTATCGACAAAGTCAATAATTCAAATGTGAAAGTCATTAATATTAAATTAGATTTTATTTTTACTGAATAAATTTTCCAATAAATGTGAAAAAAGTTTTTGGTATATAACAAAATGAACAAAAAGCTCCTTTGAATTGGTAAAGAAATTATCTTATTGTTTTCTTTCAAATATGGCCGTTAAACCGAAATGATCCGATGGAAATACATCTAAATTTTGTTGCTGCCCAACAGGTTTATTTCCTAAGATTTGAATTTGTTTAGGAACGACCGTCTGACTTCGTAAGATAATTCGGTCATATCGTGATCGATCTGATCCTCCATTACTTTTTTTGGTCATTGAATTTATATGTGTATCAAAAGTGTAACCAGGATTGTCAGGACCCATAACATTCACCCAAACATCAGTCCATTCCGGTAAGGCACTAAATTGTTCGACGTTTTCACTTCCTTCAGCATGAAAGTTGAAATCACCCATGAGAATGCACGTACTTGGAGCTCGATTGAAGACTTTTTGACAAAGGTTCAACTGAGCTAGTCGCTGTGGTTTATTATTCAAAGATTCCAAATGCACCGTACCAATACGAAGTGTTTCGTTTTCATCCAATTTAATCTCGGCAAGTACCATACGACGACCCATTATAGAATGTGGAAAATTGATCAAATCCAAGTGAGATATGTGAAGACGAGCATCAATTAATAGAACAACGCCATACCAACCATAGAATGTCCGACCGTCCGGATCGGATATGTAGTATTTTTCTTGGATGAATGGTTGTGCTACTAAATGTTTGAGAATATTCGGAGTCACTAAAATCAACCAGTCAAGAATGGTCAAAGAACAAAAAACAACGAACTTTCTTGTAAACCGATAATTTGAGCATCAGATCGATGTAAAATATCACAAAGACTTTGAAAACGCATTGGTTGATATTGTTCCGAAAACCAAATATTGTACGTCGTTACACGAAATTGATTCCAGACATTTTTCGGAATACCGGTGTCATATTGTCGTTCAGACCATTCATGTTTTTCTTTTCGATATTGCCATAATGGTAGTGTCCATTCTTGCTGTTGCATTTTTGATGAATGATGCGCCGATTGCTGTCCCATAAATATAGTGACAAACTATGATAATTAGTTTCTTTTCTTTTCTCTTATCTTGCCTTCTTTTACCTGAAGCTGGCGGCAACACTGAAAAGCTGTTCCGCGAAAGAAAGAAGTAACATGAAACATACCAATTTGTATACATATATTTCAAATGAGTCATTCTGATGTTTTTCTTTCTTTGTAATCAAAGTAGAACAAAAACAACGTGTGTGTATCTACAGCGAATAGTATTCGCTATTGACGAAGTTATAACAATGTTATTTGAATCAACACAATTTTGTATTTCTTTCGACGCTGCACAGACAAACAAGCTTCTCTTTCATTTTTTTTAAATATTACACCCTTCTAACCTGTTATGATTAACATACAAGATAGATGTCAACTATTTTCGACTGTATAATATTGACGAGAAGATCAAGAATTTTTGAAAATCATCCTATATCTTTATTGTTGATGTTTTCTTTGACAATCGATGTCGCCGAGGTGATTACTTATCGAGTTTCTATGCATTTGCTTGTGTGTAAATGTTATCAAACGTGGACATGGCGTCTATTTGATAAAGAAAGTTTGTTTCATTGTCGAAGCAAGTGAATTGATATGATATAGTAGACTTGTTTTAAATTTTTATCCGAAAACAAAAGATTTTCGAAAAGAAAAGTAAACAAAGAAAAACGTATACAACAAACTAGCACAACAAATATAAGAAAAAGAAGAAATCAAATTCATTTGTACAAGTTTTTTAGAAACAATATGACAATACGGCGAAAAGCACCGAGTACGAAGGTAAACGTTGTTTTTTTTAGAACAGACGGAAGAGAAGCAAAACTAATGCTACATGAATAATAGAAAGGATTACATGAGACATATCTTCGAAAAAACATGAATTTCTTCACTGTTAATATACTGTTACAGTGTGACGAATCGAGACGAGTTAATAGCGTCTAGAATTAAGAAAAAAAATACGACTATTGGGATAGAGAACAAGAAATGAGATTCTTACCGAAGTAGTTCATCAGGTGCGGGTGGGAATGGAAAACGAAAATGTTGTCTTTCCATTTCCAAACTCAATCGACGAAATTCGTTTTCATTGTGCTCACGTATAGATCGTTCTCTCGTATTCAATCGTGCAAGATCATCAAGACGTGCCATCTACAATCAGATCGAAACAATCGTCAAATTTTTGAAAAGATTCAACTGAATAGAACCTACTTGAAATGGATTAGCAGCGAGCGCTAGACTCATCGGATCGAATCGATTGTTATTAGCTAACATTAATGACATGAATTCACGGTCACGAGCAAAATTATGCATTGCTTCAAGACCCACTGGTGGTAATGGGCCACCGGGATGTAGTAAAGGATTTCCATGAGGAATGCCTGTGTAGGAAAATACAATATGTATGTTAATTGATCGTGAGAGATCAATTTACCTGAAAGAGGATTTGCAAAGGGTAATAAGGGTGAAGGTGGTAATGACATGCCATTTGTTGCGGCGGCTGATGATGATGATGATGATGACGTCGAATCATTTGTATTATTTAAATGTAGATGTGTATGTGAATGTGAATGAATATGAGCATGATTATGTGTGCCGTTGTTATGAGCAGACAGCGGCGATGAATGGTTCGATGGAGATGATGGTAACGGTCCGACTGATGACGGTGACGAATTACCAAAGGGTGGAATCATACTGCGATAACGAGGATCGAGTAGAAGAGCAGCTGTTGCTGGATCGAAACCACCAGGAGTTGGTCGAGCAAGACCGGTTGCAAACGGTGGCTGTGAAGGAAATAATTGGGAAGCAGTTGAATTTGCTGAGTTCATCAAACGTAAACCTAGCGGGTCCAAATGACGCAATGCTGCATTGTCGGGTGGTAGCGGACCAAACGGTGATGGAAAACCTAAAGGTGGTTTTGCTACACTGGCAAGTCCATGCATTGGTAATGGATGAAAGAGTGGATTGTTTTGATTTAATAGCAATGGATCCGGATGTGAAAATGATGTTAATGATGGACCAGATGGATGAAGCATTGGTGGTACCTTATCCAGGGAGAATGATAATTTCTGAAAAAAAGGAAAACAAGTAAATTGAATGTGTCTGTGCCTGTTGACATACCGATAGATTTCGATCTTCTTGCTTGAAATTATTTACTGGTTGAGTAGATGACGATGTCTCCGGTGTTGGCGGCAAGTTACTTGGTTTTCGTCGAGTACGCGAACCACGTTTGAGTACAATATCTGTTCGTGCACATGAATTTTCTGAAGTTGATCGATCATAGACTTTCACGAGAATAATTCCTTGAGATTTATTGTAACATTCTAAACGGAATGAAATCGTTATCATTTGAAAAGTAGTAAGAAACTCCAACTAACCTTTTTCACAGCTAAGTGGTGCTCGTCCGTCATCAGGAGTCACTTCGGGGGTATTATTTGTGGAATTATCGGATAGATTACCCTCATCATTTGATAGATCGTTTTCTTTTAATGAATCTCTAGGTATAATATCACCAGTTACCGTTGGATTCGATTTCACCACTGAATCAAATTCATCGAAATCTTTGGATGATAATAAAGATTTTTTCAAAGTTCGTGAAAATGCAGATGACGGTGAAGATAATAACAAATTCGTATTGTTCTGTTTGGCGTGATCCAGAAGAATTTTTGTTGCATTATCTGGAAGTATCGTCGATGGTGAATGTAATTCTTGTTTGCAAGGCGTTGGTGTAAGAATAGTCGAATTTAAATCTTCAGTTTTAATATGTAACGAAGAATTCGCAGCCGTCGTGGACGATGATGATGATGATGATAGTTTTTCGTTTTCTTGTTCTTCTTTCTTGATAACAAGTTCTTCATCTTCTTCAGCTTCTTGTTTAATCGATGGAAGTTTGTCATTACTTCGCGTTTTCTTTCTCGAACGTGTTAACGATGAATTGTTTTCATCGGGTGATTGCGGTGCTTTTGTTCGTTTTCGTTTTCCCGTACTTGAACTTGTTTCATTCAACGGTTTGAATAAATACGGTGAACTTTCGATATTTACACTTGGCATTTCGCCATTTTTCTTATAATATATTCGACAATCATAACAAAATAATTGATTATCACGTCCGATCGCTTGTAGATCTTTTGATGATGATTGACAATGACGGCAAAGTTGTTCATCACCATCGGTAGTCGTTTGGTTGTCTTCATCAGATTCATCCTTATTATTTGCTTTCGTACCTCGTTGTTTCGTTGGCGTTGGTGTTGTCGAAGCGCTCACTAGTGTTGAACACGGACGTTGTCGACGACGCGGGCGACTTGACTGTGCTTGTGGCGTCTTCTTCCATAGATAATAAAATTCGACAAGGTCAGATGTTTGTTTATGCGATAAAAGTTCTTTTCGAATACGAAAGAAGTTTTTTCCGTATTGTCTCAATCCTTTAATAAACTTCTTTTGATCGTCGTCACTCCACTTTCGATCAATTCCCTTCGGTATTGGACATTTAACAAGTGCTTGTATAGCACGTTTACAATCATAATCGTNACTTAGCTTGTGCCATTGAGATACACGCCCGCAAATGTTTCTCTTCAGTCTCGTTATCGCTCGCACATAGAGAGAGCGAGAGAGGATAGCTTGAGAAAAGAAAACAAGAACAGATTCTGTTTTGTAGAATGCAAAGACCATGATCGTGTCAAAGACAATCCCGAGATTTGTGATGATAAACTGAAGTGATATTGATAAAGGAAAGAATAATCTTCTTAGTATTAATATTGTCATTGTCACGTTGAGTTCATAGGATTCGTGACTTGTTTGATGAAAGATTTGATTTTTGTATAGATATTCCGGAAAAATAATCTGATGAAAACTGCTGTGAAAGAACAGTTTTGGTAGCCGCTGATGAGATCGTGTATGTCAAATTTTTTGGGTCCCATACAGTTGTCGGTTCAAGTGTTGATCTGATTGGCTGATGGCTTTGACAGATAACCCGTGGAGTTTCTCATATTTGTGAGCCAGTCGAAACTATGGTCATAAGAGAAAGCGTGTAATAACAAGTGATGCAATTATCGTATCGAGAGCAAAATAAAGAAGAATAACATAATCTACTTTCACACCATCGTTTGATCGATAATCAAGTTAGGTAAAACACAGTGATTGACTGACGACTGGTTGCTTCTACTCTAGTCAAAAACAGTTCCAAACACTCTCAACAGACGAACTAATAATTTCCTGACATTGGTTGCTGAAGATTTATGTAAAATGTCAACTGACAGTCTGAAGCAATATATCGTCATCGATGTTGACGAACAGATTCTTTGTACACACACACAACGTGGTTTGGATTGTAGGGATTGTCAATTTGATAAAGGAAATGTGTCTGTTTTGATTTTGGATGGATATTCATGAAAGAATAACAGAAATTGTGTTTAGTTTGTGATAGATGACATTTGTTGGATGGTGGATGATGCGAAAATGTGGGAAAGTATTTTTGTTGATGAGTTTTGTACCACCGAGATTTTTGTGAAAGTGTATTGACTTAACCTTTACTTGAATTATGATAGGAGAAGGCACTCATATATCACTATGGTTCTATTGTTCTAAATATCGGCTCTATTCTGATCCAAAAGAATTTATGATGAATCAACACGTCCTTCGGATCTATATATATATATACAGGAATAGAAGATTTGTCATTAAATATTTAACATCACTTCCAGTTGAAGTGAAAATATCATATTTAATTAATCGTGAAGATTACATTTCCATCATGAGAATAGTTTTTTTCCGCTTAAAGTATGAGCTTTAGATATCAGATAATCGGGCACGAACGTCTGGAAGATGTTGTAAGCATTTAGTGAGTAAATAAACATTGAATAATATGAGCGATTAATTAAATATGATATTTTCACTTCAACTGGAAGTGATGTTAAATATTTAATGACAAATCTTCTATTCCTGTATATATATATATAGATCCGAAGGACGTGTTGATTCATCATAAATTCTNACATGAATAGATTATGTGAGCGCATATATATATAAATACATACAGAACGAGAAAAAACAGTCAGTTGATCCGATTAATCAATCACTTATGGTATCGGATGTGTTTCTGTTTGTTCGGCTCGATGAACCCGTATATAGGCGCA